GAGCAGGGATTTGAACTCAGGTACTCTGGACCTAGCACATCATCCTCCATACTGGGTCACTCAGACTTTCTAAGAAACAGTCTTCCACAGACCCTGATAAGACCAGGGCATAGGCTAGTCACCCCGATCGTGGTTGCTAACCTCTTGAGGTTGACAAGTCTAGACCCTAAGGATTGGAATGCCCAGCTGCAGGACTCCCAGCCTCCATGTCACAGCTCCAGGTCCACTTCTGCATGCATGAATGCCTGATTCCCTCCCTGCAGCTCCATGAGAGCAGTGAGCCTATCCAAAGGCACAGGCTGATCTCAACTGGGGAGAAGGAAAATTCCACAGGGCCCCACTCTGAGAGCCAGGGTGGGAGGGAAGCAGATGCCAGGGCATGGTGCAGGTGCCTGCCGATGTTCTGTGAGGTTCATCCAGGCAGTGCTTGCAAGGAAGCTCTGCGAATTTGAAATGATATCTGAGATAGCAGGTGTAAGTCCAAGATACTGCTGGGATAATGGGTCACAGGGCTCAGTGCTGGCAAAATCATGATGTCTCTGAAACATGTCCTCAGCTACCCTCCTCCTTCCCCTGCTACACACACACACACACACACACACACACACACACAGGCTCTCTGGGGTTCTTAGCATCACAATCAGTCTTCCTTTTACAGACCCCTCCCAGGACACAGCCTCTTTCATGCCTCCCTTTCCTACAGAAGTTGCAGCAATGCTCTGTCCAGTGCCTTCAGCACACCCCTAGCAGAGTCCTTTCAAACACATGCTCACGCTTTGCCCTCTGCCGGGACATCTGTTCTGCCTCCTGTCCCACAGTCTGTCTGCATCTCTGGATTCTGTCTGCTCTTCCAGTGTTACTGCCCAGCCCTCCACAATGTCTGCCTTGACAAACTGAGCTGACAGTAATTTCACTTTTTTTTTTCCTGGATTCTTCCTTTTTTATGCTTTTTTTGTGAACCATCGATCTGATTCTGCCCTATACGATAAATTTTCCCATGCTTGACATAGCCTTCTCTGTAATCAACTCTTACAGGTAGCATTCAGATTTAAGTTGTGTTATCGATATTTGGGAGATTGGTTCCATCTTCTGGTTCACTCCCTAAACACCCACAATGGCCAGGACGGGGGACCACAACAAAGTCATGAGTTGGGAATACAAACCAGGTCTCACACACGGAGCCCAGGTAACCTGTATGACCACAGGCTGCAGGATCTGCATGAGCAGGAAGCTGGGATCAGGAACAGAGCTGGGAAGCAAGCCTAAGCTTGTGGGACACAGTCATCATGTCCGGTATCTTAACCACTCAGTTAAATACCCACTGTTCAGATCCATATGATCCTCACAGAACTCCACTCCCCCACGGCCAGGTGGTCATGCTGACCCAGACCCAGATGGGAAATGGAAGAAGGCAAAGGAGTAGGCACAAGTGCCTCTGGACCTACCTTGGCACCAAGGTCTGGCTCCTGCTGGGTAAGCCAACAGCAAGAGGGAGATGCCCTGAGCAGGTAGGCTGTTTGGTACACTTAGATCATATCCCATGGAAGTCCAGGGCACTGACCTGCCTGTGAAGCAAGCTCTGAGCTCACCTACACACACCTGCAGGAGGCCAGCTATGGTGTGGACGTTGTCAAATAGCAAAAAGCAAAAAGCAGTTTCTGTTTAGCTTTGGAACCCAATATCCAAAGTCCCTCTGGCTGGGAGTGTGTGCATCCCAGGCAGCGGCGCTTACTAAACTGGGACTACAGACTCTGCACTGATACTCCCAGGGGGAGGGCAGATGTCCCACCACACAGCACAGCCCTCCCATGCCTTGCAAAGAGAGAAGCTGGAGTTCAATTTCCCCAACTCACCCCTGCTGCTCACTGGATCCCAGAAAGTCTCTCCATGCAGGGAAGAGAATATGTTCTTCCAAATTTGATTCTTGATCTTTCCTGTGGCAAGAAAGGGAATTGGAGGTTGGGAGTTTTCAGTTTTACTTGGCACTCATTTGAAATGAAGCTGAAATGTTAGTAAGACTGGTGAAGAGCTGGTCCTGTGGTACAGCAAGTTAGGCTGCCTCCTACAGTGCTGGCACCCCATATAGGTACCAGTTGTCATCCTGGCTGCTCCATTGCCACCTAGCTCTCTGCTAACATGCCTTGGGAAAAAAGCATAGGATGACTCAAATGCTTGGGCCCCTGCACCCATGTGGGAGACCCAGTCCTGGCCTAGTCCTGGCTTTTGCAGCCAGTACATGAAAGGTCCATTCTTTCTTTTCTCTCTGATTTTCAAATAAAAAGGAAAGATGTGTTGAGTGAGTAGGTGTTAGGTGGCAATGAACTTGAGGAGATGAGATTGGTAGCCCTTACTGATAACTTGAAGTGGATGACAGAGGTCCCTGGCCCTGTCACTGAGAAGAAAAACAGCAGGAGTGACACCTGCCACCGTGCACATTTTTCCTAACAAGTCTCTCATCACAGAGGCCCAAGACAGTGCTGTTTGCTTAATTAAGTCAGCCTTTTTATGGTCTCTATACTAGGAACCTGTTAGGCCATCCTGGCTGAGGGTATTGACCAGCGGTCATTCCCCAGAGCCTGAGTCCAAGATGCTTTAGTGCATTTCAAAGTACAGCCCTGACGGCTGAGCCTTGCCAGGGCCCCTTTCACAGGTATTTGATCTCCTTTCAAGCAAGCCTATGGGACAGAGGCCAGCAGTTGGGGTTTGAGCTGATTGAAAGCTTGCATTGGAACTGACCCCATTCAGAGGGCCTCACTGGCACCGTCCCTCCTTTTCCCTGCTGGCTTGCTCCACTTTCCACTACAGGAGACCCCCGAGTGCAGCTGTAATCCCAGCATCATCAAGACCTTCCAGGATGAAAAACACCTTTGATTTTTTTTTTCCAAGTGAGCAGCTACAGAGCCCTGGGAGAAGTACCCCCCTCTGCCCCCACCTCCATACACACTCTCCTAATTCACAGTCTCAGGTGGGAGTCCCCCATGGGAAATACCTCCCTGGGATCCCAGCACAGGCTGCCCCACTCCTGTTCCTTCTCTTCCCCAGGCTGCCCTGGGCTCCGTGCTGGAGATTTTTGTTTCTGATAGTCAGCTTTTGTTTGTTCCCTAGCCAGCACTGAAGATGCTTTCCTTCCCACCGCATCCCCTTTGCATCTGTTTGCTGTGTGGGCAGGTTCTTGCTCACTGCCTCTGCCCCAGGTTTTTGGATGCAGTCCTCCCACTAAATCCCCACTACCAAATACACACACAACTGCTTCCTCAGATCACCCACAAGCCTCTAGTTAAGCGCCCCACCCCCCCATCATGTCCCCAGCCCACCTCATCACTGGGCAACTCTGTGTCAAACTAGAACAGCTCCTGAGACATGAAAACCACTGGCCTTTTAAGTCAGGAATCTGGCCAGAGGCAGAGTTCCCAACAGGCAGCAGCCTGCCCTGCAGAGCCTCCTTCAGCCCCCAGCCCCATCGCCCAGGTGTGATTAAAGCAGGTTCACCTGCAGCTCCTCCCCAGCTGGGCCCTGGTTCAGCCAGATCTCCCAGGTTTTCAGGGCGGGGCGGTGGGGAGAACTCTGTGCTCCTCTCATGCAGGTCCCAGTCCTGCCCCCCAGTACTGACCCACACTGACTCCCTGATCCCCCATCCTGCCCAGGTAGGCGTGGGCTCTTCCTGGAGACAGCCCTCAAGGTCTGGGTTGCTGGCTTAGACCCATGGAGGCTGCTTTTCAGAATTTGCTTTCAGGAAGAAGTAAAGTACGGATGGGCATTAAACAGAATCCAACTCCCCTATGGACAGCAAAGAGCAGAGCCTGCTGCTTCCAGCACTTTCTCCCTCTCTCTTCCAGGAATACAAACATCTTTAATGGTCTGAGACCTTTGTCCACTCAGAAGCAAAACACATGCACATGTAATTAGAAGGTGGAGTCTTTGATTAGCAGGGCTATCTTTCAGGAGTTGAAATTCAGAGGGGACTAAATCATTCTCAGTGGCAATTTTTGATGAACTTTCCTACTTCCGGTTTCTCTTGGAAACTCCTTCTCATGTGGCCCCTCTCACTCCCAAGCATTATTTGTCCTCCCTTCTCTGTGCCATTCATTTCTCTGACTTGTGCAAATGGTAACCTGTTGAGGTACCTGTCCCAGTTCCCTGGTGGAGCTGAGGGGTAGGATCCTGTACCTTTGACCCTCTGTCCATCCATCTATCCCCAGCTCTGGATAGGACATCAGAGCCTACTGGCGAGCTAGCTGGAGCCCCCTCATGTAGTCCTACCATGCTTAACTTGCCTCCGGTTCTCTCCCAATTTTGTTTCCTCTGACCAAAACGGGCCAGTCATGTACCAGGTAGGCCAGAAAAGAGGGCAGTGCTAGTTCTAAGTCCCACATTGAGTTAGTGTCAGGAGGGGTTAGGGACAGTGTACCCACTTCACATACCATCTGTTACCTGTGCCGGTGTGAGGCAGGCAGGTGCATAGCAATTCCTGGCTTTTCCTCCTGCCAAGACTCTTGGCCAGGGAATGACAATGTGAACAACACAAAGCAACACTACTTGGGGTGGCTGCTGGTCACAAGAAGTCACAAGGAGTCACAAGGAGCTGATTCCACAGACCTCTTGTCAGCAGGCAAGGGACTTGCTGCCTTCAGGACTAGGCTTCTGCTAGGGTGGGGGATGGGGGTAGGGTGAGGGTAGAGCAGGGCCACCGGCAGAGCTAGGGAAAGCAGATGGAGGCTGTTGGGAAAGCAGTGAGGTGGAAGCAGGAGCCCTCTCACAGAGGCTTGAGAATTCCTGGACTTTAGTAGTTCTGCTGTGAAGGGGAACTGATGGCGTGACCTGCCCCAGAAGGTCAGAGGCAAGGTCACAGGGGCCTGCCCCACCTGGGAGGATCCTATGAGTTGTGACAGCTGGGGTTCACAATAAATGTGAGTCAGGTGTGTTTGTGTCAGCTCCAGTTTGACTCCAACTTCTTGATAGAGACTAGCCTGACTCTAGAACTTGCTCTTTCTCCTCCACAGGCCAGTCCTTCTACTCCCGGGTGCTGGAGAACTGTGAAGATGTGGCTGACTTTGACGAGGTAGGACACCCAAGACGTGGCTCTTATGGTCTTGCACTTGCTGGGCAACCAGCAGTCGTCATGTCCCCCTTCTCTCTTGTCGCTGCATACCCTTCTCTCAAATGCAACCGATGCAATGTCTTTCATGCGTTTCCTGTGGCTTCCTGCGTATCCTTGCAAAATGTGTCCTACTGTCTTGGGAGCATATAATTAATATTTATCTGGCCTTCCATTTTTCCTACTCTTTGCCCCACTCCCACCACCACCAAAGATATATTTATTTAATTGAAAAGGAGTTACAAAGTGTGTGTGGAGGGGGAGAGGGAGAGGCAGGGAGTGAGAAAGGGAGAGAGATTTATCTGCTTATTCATTCTCCAGAAGGTTGCAACACTAGGGCTGGGCGAGGGAACTCCATCCAAGTTTCCCATGTGGGTAGCAGGGCCCCAAGCACTTGGGCCATCTTCCACTGCTTTCCCAGGCCATTAGCAGGGAGCTGAATTGGAAGTGTTGCAGCTGGAATTTGAACAAGCACCTATATTGGATGCCAGCATTGCAGGTGGGTAGCTTAGTTCACTGCACCACAACGCTGGCCCCCTGTGCACTGTTTTGAAGTCTTACCTGTATTGAAACCATGTTTCAGGGGACACCTCTGATACATAGCAAGGTGACAACTCTTCGCATTTGCCTGGGACCGAGGGACAGCCTGGGACATAGACTGTCAGTGCTGACACTGGGAAAGTTCAGGAAAACCTCCTTACGCATCTTACCCACGCTGCCAGGGAGAGAGTCTAGCTCGCTGCCCCTCCAACAGGCAGTGGTAGTGCTGTGTGTGTCTCTTGGCACTGTGTGTGTCATCAGACTCAACTTGGACACACCTGTGCCCGCATCTCCATCGGTAGGTGCTTCCCAGCTCCTCGAATCATGCTTGTTTGAGGGTAGTAGCTCATTATTGCTTTAATGTACACTTCTTCAGTTACTAATGGGTTTGAACCTCTCTGGCTATGCCTTCAGGATTTTAGTTTCCTCTTTTGAGCATTGTCTCCCCATACTCTGCCTGTTTTTCCTCTTGGCTTTTTCTCATTGATTTGCAAATGTTCTTTGTATTTGCTACATCACCAAGCCCTGTTGACTTTAGATATTACCTTCTCCCAGTCTGCATGTGTCTCTTAACTGAGTCTGTGGTGAGGCTCCAAAGCCCTAACTCTTCTGCACTTTCAAGTTTTCTGGAAGAAGTGTCCCTCTCCCAGTTACGTATGTATGCCCTTCTGATTTTATAGTTATACATTATTTGTGGTGTCCAATAAGGGTTTAGGTTCATTGTTATGTAAGAAGCCCCTTTTCCAAACATAACTCAGTCAGCAGCTTTCCTCCCTATATTTGCACTCTAGTAAGTTGTGTGTTGAGTCCTCTGTTCCACCTCATTAGTCGATATGTCTGTTCTGGAACCTTCCCCAATTAACTACATTAATTTGGATCTTTTGTATGCCATCAACACATTGCTACAGTATTTGAGAAGTCACCCAGTGGATAACCGGTCTCTTTATGTGCCACTTTGCTTTTCAAATAAGATAAATCTTCAAGAACATAATAACAAAGTTATAGATCCATGTATGGATCTTGATCCTTGCAGATAAATTTCAAAGTAAGTTCAAAAAAGTTCTTCCAAAAACTTAACTCTGGACTTTGATTGAGCCTGCACTGAAAGTGGGGAGATCATAGGAAATACCTCATCCAAATTAGCTGCCATGCATCGCTCAGGTTTCTACATTTTCTACAAGTCTCAGGGATTCTTGATCATTTCCTTTGTGCTTTAGTGTTTTGAGATCATCGTGCGTGAACCCAGGCTTGTGTTGCATTCTTTAGTTGGTCATTGTCAGCATAGAAAGCAGCTGTCTTAAGACCGTGGTTTGTTGGCAACTTTGCTGAACTCTTGTTGGTTTGAACTGTTTACCTGCCGATTCTGTTTTTCTGTGTAACATATTGTCTACTATAGAAGTGTTTTCTCTCTCCTTCCCAATCTTTAGTGAGCTAGTTCCTTGTGTCTCCATAGAGTGTTGACCGTGACCTCTGGGTCTTTGGTGAACAGTAGTGATGGTAGGCATCTCAACATTAAGGAAGAAAAGAAAATGCACCTAAGGTTTTGTCATCAAGTACATTTCTGGTCATAGATTTTACTCTCTAAATTTGTCTTATTGATGGGCTTTGAGTTTTTCATTATAAAAGGCTGTTGGACATTATCAAAAGCTTATTCTGTGTGATTGAGACCAACCTAATTTCTCTCCTTCAGTATGTTTCATAATTATTAATTGTGATATGAGGTTCAATTGGCAAATATTTAGATTTAGAGTTTTTGCAGCCATGCTCATAAAGCTCATAAAATTTTGGAGCTTCCTTTTTTTTTCTTTTTTGAACTGCACATAGAAGTATTCTTCCTTGATATTTTGGATGACTCATTTATCACTTAAGCCTGGATTTGTGGGGGAGGAAATCTCCTTGAATCCCTTTCTAATCTCTATCTTTTTCTTTTAAAAAATGTATTTCTTTTTATTGGAAAGTCAAATATACAGAGAGGAAGATCTTCCATCCACTGATTCACTCCCCAAATGGCTGGAACAGCTGGAACCGAGCAGATCTGAAGCCAGGAGCCAGGAGTTTCTTCCCGGTCTCCCACGCGGGTGCAGGGTTCCAAGGCTTTGGCCCATACTCTACTGCCTTCCCAGGCCACAGGCAGGGAGCTGGATGGGAAATGGGGCTGCTGGACACAATTCAGTGCCCACATGGGAACCTGGCACATGCAAGGAGAGGACTTTAGCCACTAGGCTTCTGTACCAGGCCCCTATATCTTTTTGTAACAACTTTGTCTGGGTTTTATATTTCCTAGGCAGTTTTACATTTTAGCTAGGCTTCCAAACTTATTAGCATATATTTCATGATAATGTTTGGAAATTACTTGTATATCTTTATTGTGCCTATGGTGATTTCCCCTTTTTGTTTCTTATTTCACTTTTAAAATATCTTCTCTTTGTTCTTCATCAGTTTTGTTAAATATCTTTATTTTATTAATCTTTGTGAGAAACCAATTTTTTGCTTCATTAATCTCCTTGGAGACTCGTGGTAGTGACTCCATTTCATTTACTTCTGGCCTTTTCTTGATTATTTCACATCTATTTCTTTAATTTTGCTCTATGCTTGGGTGGAGTACTAATCCTATTAGTTGCAGTCCTTTTTGTGCTTTCATAATTAATGCCTTTGAAGTTCTAAATTTTCTTTTTTCTTTTTTTTTAAAATTTTTTTTAATTGATTACATTGCATCATGCGACACAGTTTTACAGGCACTGGGATTCCCCCCTCCCCTCCCCAAAACCTACTCCCCGCCCCCATGGTGGATTCTTCCATCTTGTTGCATTACCACAGGTCAAATTCAGTTGAGATTTTTTCCTTGCAAGCATCTACAAAGCATAGAGTCCAGCATCTTATTGTCCAGATAAGTTCAACAGTTTCATGGGGAGACAGTCTCTGGTCTGAAGGTACAGCCGAAAGAGTCTCATTAAATTTTCTTTTTTCAAGACATTTTTATTTATTTGAAAAGCAAGGTCTTAAGGAGGGAAGAAAAGAGGGAGAGACGCAGAGAGAAAGAGAATCTTCTATCTGCTGGTTCAGTCCCCAAATGACAGAGACAGCTAGGACTAAACCAAACCGAGGCCAGGAGCCTGGAATGCCATTAGGATCTCCCACGTGGGTGACAGGGGCCCAAACACGTGGGCCAGTCTCCGCTACTTCCCCAGCACGTTAGCAGGGAACTGGATCAGAAGTAGAGAAGTCAGAACCCATCGTAGGCAGTGGCTTAACTGCTTGTATCAAAATATCAGCTCCTAAAGCTATAAATTTTATTCTATAAGCAGCTTTAACTGTGTGTGCATATTTTCAGATAGGTAGAATTTTCATTAGTATTCAATTTTAAACATTTCTTGTATTCTTTAATGATTTTAAAACTCAAGGTTTACATAGTAACATGTTGGCTTCCAAGTATGTGACTTTCTAAGCTCTCCTTATTTTATCCATTTCCATTACACTATGATCAAAGAACTGTGTGTGATGCTGATCCTTTGCAATTTATGAATCTTTCAATCGCAGCCTAACCTCTGGTTGCAAATACTCCCTCGGCTTTGAAGGAATGAGTTCAGTGGGGAGTTCTATTTATAGCCTGCCAAAAGCCCGGGGCCCATTCTGCATCAGCTGAAGCTGATTAATTAGATTACACATTTTTCTGCTTATGTTTCTCTATCAGTTTCGAAAAGAGTTATGATAGAATCCACCACTGCAATTGCTGATTTATGTGTTTCTCCTGCAATTCTGCCAGTTGCTGCTTGATGTTTTCGGAGACTGTATTATTGGTTCCCTATATCTTCTTGTCTCTGGTATATTACTTGTTACTGCTATCTAACACCCTTTCTTGTCCCTTACGATTTACTTTACATTAATTTGTGCTTTTAAGGTTGCTTCCTCAGCTCATTCTGGCTCCTTTGCTTGGTGTATTTTTTCCAATTCTTGCTTTGCTTTTTCGTATTTTGAGGATTTTAAGTTTCAGTGTATCTTCGTCGGCTTCCCCAGAGGGGGAGTGTCTGTCTTTTAAATTGTACCCATTTCCATTTATTGTCAGTTTATCCCCATTGGGTCTCTTTTCAACACCATCTTGTCTGATATTTTCCATTTACTGTACCTTTGTTTGATGCTCTGTTCCTCCTTTCCAGCTTTCCACTGGGCAGGTTAGGTTTCCTTTTGTTCCTTAAAAAGTTGTGCATTTTGTTTTTGTTTCCAGACTAGATACCCTTACTAAATTATGTATCCCTCTTGAGAGCTCACACAAATCAGGAACCCTAGTTTTCTCTAACATGGAAAATGCTTTCATCTCTCTCTCTTCTCTCTAAGGATCCCACCTCAGGGCACTGCCCCAACCCTGTGCTGATATTGCTCATGTGCAGACTGAGGCTCTTACGAAGGTGCAATCTTCTTTATTTTAT